AATTTGGTTGCAAACACGCTCGAAATCAGCGAAACATGACCGCAGCAATTTCAAAAGTGGACCACATCTTAATCACGCCATTGGGCAATATCAGACCGCTCCCTGGCAGTGTGGACCTCGTCCACTGCGTCGTCGTCCCATCGAGCAGTGCTGTCAGTAGACACCCTGGCTCAAGCTATATTGACGGGCGCTGAGTTGAGGAACCGCCAGCCATGTGACAATTACAATGCGAAGCTCATACAAGAAAAACGCCAGGAAGCCAAGACCCACGGTGTGTGTTCTTGCACAAACCGGGTGCGTGCGTGATGAAGCGCGGCGGGGCCTCCCGAGCCCCGCCGGCGAATTGCACAAAAAGCGCAGAGCGTGCCATTGTATGATTGATCAGCTCGTTTTCTAAATAGTTTAGCGATTCTCGGCGCCGCACACATTTGCCACACCAGCCGCATGGATGGAGGGCGATACCCTCTCGAACGCGGTGCGCTAAGCCACGTTGCTTGCGCGGTCGACTTTGGCCGTTGGTGCTCACTTGGCTCGGCCGCTTGCCACGTTGCCTGGCTTGGCCGTTGGTGCTCACTTTGAAGCCGACAGGGATCTCCCCGTAGAGGGTCGTACATTGTTTTACCCCCCTGCCGAGTTACAGAGTCCAGAACTTCGCCCGGGCTTTTCCAGCCCTTCCAGGTTCTGAGCCTCAAGCGGCGGGGGGGACGGTGCTCCTTGCAAGCGACCGTCTCCCCAACTGATGGGACGTAGGCTCCGCAGCGCTCGCTCGACCCCGTCGTCGTTGGCGATGTCGCACCTGCCGCGGCAAGCGAGGGAAGTAGCTGTGGAGGTGTCTGTGCGGTGCGAAGGCAACTGTGCTCGGACAGGCTGCGCACAGCCTCAAGGGAGGAGGAGGAGGAGGAGGAGGAGGAGGAGGAGGAGGAGACGGAGGAGCGTGGAGTGGGGTGGACGCCATGACGAGGTCGTATCACAAAGCATGTGTCGTGACCCCAGAGAACAGCGATGCGACAAGGAATAATACGCGCACGCACCACAGTAACACCTCGAAACACAGAAGTTGCACCAAGCCACGTCCCTAACTACAGCATGTGTGACATATCATTGTTCTATCAGAAAACGTAGGCACCACAGGACCCTGAATGCCCCCACCAAGCAGTGAGATGGGAGGCGATGGAGGACGAGGAGGCCGGATCATAATCACCTCTCCCACCTTCTACACGACCAGGTGAACGCATATTGATGGCCCTTTTTGGTCTTTGTTCTTTCACTCTGTTCTTACTGCCGTCTGTTATGCATCTTGGGTCCGTCTTGAGCTGGTCTTCTGTTAACCCGTGGCCGTCTTGTGCTGGTCCTGTGCAACAAGAGCCGACTGCCATCCGCTCAGATATTGCAGATCACACGGGCCCTTGCACGTTGAATTTCAAGTGGCGACCTCATTATCTAGGTAATTTGTTGGCATCTGATCGTTTACGATCAGATCTGTTGAGCTGGTGTTTTCGTCGTGTGACCGCCGCCTCATGTGACCGAAAAGCCTACGTGGGAACACCTTGGTGCCTCGTGGTCTCGGCTTGGTGCCCCTTCCACCTTGGGACCATCTCGGGGGCAATCTCGTGGCCTCGCGGGGCAGTGTTGGTCCGATTCTGGGCAATCTCAGGCGCAAGAACATGGGACAGGTAAAAACATTGAAAGCACTATGTGTGTGCTTCTTTTTTGTTTTGCTCTCTCGTGGGTGTATTCGGGCCCTCCTGGGCCATCCTGTAAGAATCGTCGGATCATCCTCGGCAGTCTTGGGCTTCTGAGGCCCTCTCCGGGGCCTCTTGGATTCGTCCTGGAAGTGTCTTGAACTCCCTGGGCCACCTGGTGGCGCCGCTACCGGGAATCTTGAGACAGTTGACAGCGACAGGAGGCTGATGCACATCCCACAAGGTGTTTTTGTTGATGCCGCGGGCCCCCCTGGTTAGAAGACAATAGAAGGGAGAGTGGACTGAATATGCACCAGGTGAGAATCGCAAGGCAGCACAAAGAAAACAAGGCAGCAGTCCAGCAGGACGACTCGCAGCCTGGCGCCCCGAGGGATGCCAGCCGATTTGTGTTTCAATGCAGGCGCATTCTCAACACTGCTGTCTAGAAAGGCGATTCCGCGCTGGGCCACCGGTCCCCCGAGTGATTCAAGACAGCAGCGGTTGCGCGTTCGGAAGGTTCTCGGCATGACTCGGCGTCTGGTCCACAGTGATCAGGGCCCTCGGGAGGGGGGGCGATCTGTGCGGTTGGATGGTTGGGGAGGGGGGGGGCCCTCAGAAGCCTTACATAAGCACCACCAGACGGCCCACATGCATTCTAGCACGACACTGCCGTGCAGGCATGGCGGCGGATGCACACATGCACCCATGTTCCATTCTTTCCCTTTCCCCCCTCTGATTGTTTTCTTTGCCTCTGTACTCATCGTCCACCCCCGCTCTCCGCCACCAGCCTTACCTGCTTCGCTCCTCCTTCTCCGTCCCAACTGCGCCAACCTCGGTCTAAGTCGTTGGCCACAGCACCTAAGTCGGTACCCTTTTCTTCTGCAGCCTGTCTACCATCTCCGTCAATACGATCCCTGACGATTTAAGTTTGCCAAGCGTCAAAAAACAGGAGGGTACTGATGATGATGCTGATACTGCTGATGATGATGGTGGTGATGATGCTGATGATGATGCTGATGATGATGCTGATGATGGATGATGATGCTGATGATGATGCTGATGATGAGGAGGAGGAGGAGGAGGACGAGGAGGAGGAGGGCCCGAAGGCCTGCGGCAGGCCCATCGGCCCCCCCAGCGTTCACGCGCGAGTGCCGCGTGCACAGCCACCGCAGCGCCGCGTGGGCGGGCGAGGCGGAGGCTGCGGCACGGGAGGGCGCACTGCGGCATCGGCGCAGCGTGAGGCGTTCCAGGGAGGGCCTCGCCTTCGAGGGCCGAAGGAGTTGGCACCTCGTCCTCGGGGGAAGCTGGCGGACGCCGGCGGAAGAGGGCGGGGTTTTGGAGCTCTCGTCGGCGGAAGTGCCCGCGAGTCGCGTCGCCCGTCTACCTGCGCCTCCTGGGTTCCCGCTCTGGCAAGACGTTGGATCGCGCCGAAGCGACCGTTTCGGCAGAGTTTTTTCGATGAGGCCCACCCCGTAACTTCCAGTGACAAGAGGGAGTAGTGCGCGCAAAAAACAGGAAAAGGAAGTACAAGTGGCGCCTCCAAGGGACGGCACGATTTTCGGGTTCAGGGCTTCCAGAGCCAGCCATGTGTGCTCGGCCGTCTGGAACCATTCACTTCCCAGCCACCGCGTGGTCCGGATGCAACTCCTGGGAGGTCAAAACGATTCGGCTCAATCAGGCGAATTCCCGTTTCAGCCCTCCGAATCCCGCTTGATCCGCGGCCGAATCTGGCGCAGCACTCCCCCCCCCAATCGGGCGTCGTTCTCCCCAAGCTTTCCGACGAGGGCCTCCCAGTAGTTCAAGCAGTGACGAAGCGTCCCGGCGTGCCTATAGGCCTACCAAACAATGTTCTAAGAACCTTCTGTGTTTTGCACGAAATGTTAGAACGTTTCTGGCCAGGACTGTCTTGTGTTAACACATCGGGCTTGTGTTCTATGAACATTGTGTTTGTTCTAAGAACATTGTTGGGTTCTAAGAGCATCTCGTGGTAGGCCTATAGAAGTGCCGGGACGGTCGGCACCTGCTCGAGCAGTTGCCTCCGAAGCCCTGGGTTTGGGTGCAGGTGCGCAGTCCCTCGGGGTCCTGGGGGAGCGGGAGGCGTGAACAGGGCCCGCGGGGCCCTCCGGCCCTCACGAGCGAGCGCCCGCTGCAGTCCGCAGTCAGGAGGGAAAAAACACAGAGACACAATCAAACGTCGATCCCCCTCAAAATATAGGAAAATATGGATAATGGGGGGGCGACGAAAACCCAGAAAATATGTGAGAAGATGGGGAGTCCTGTTATTTGTGTGTATTTGTTTGTGTGTCCCAGGGCCCCTTCACACAGGAGTGCTGCGTGGGCGGGCGAGGAGGAGACTGTGTGACAGGAGGGCGTACCCCAGATTTCCGACGATGTGATTCCTGAACGACGTTTTGCAAGAGGGTTCTAACATCACCGAGCCCGTTCCACTACTCGCAATGGTGCCTACTCGCAAACGTTCGAGAAACAAAAACGCATTCGTGCATCGATGAAATGTATCGTGAAGCCCCCATGGCCCATGGCGGATCCAGGCCATTTGCGAGTAGTTACTTTGCGAGCAGTGGAACGCGCTTGTCTATACAGTCTATACAAATGGAGGTGAAAAGGGGCCCACAGAAGAGTCCCACATGGGGTGACGGGGACCCCGAGATCGCCGCCCGAGATCGTTTGGTCCGTCAGGCGTTGCGCCTGAGACTTCTGCATGCTTGGCCCAGGCGGCCACGATCCCTCGTGAAACGTTCACTTCGGTGCACATGGCCTCGCTCTTCCCCCTGCCCTTTTGTGCCTAGGCCCCCTGGATGGGGTCCGAGTATAGGTGGGGATCGGAGGATCGCGCCGTATCGTCGATTCATCGGCGATGCGGCTCGGTGTGGAGCCCGACGTTCTCCACGTTGGCGTCGCCGACGTATCGCCGACGTCACCGATGCATCGGCGATGCATCGCCGATGTATCGCCGATGCGGCGCGATCCTCCGACCCCACCTACTCCGACCCCATCTAGGAGGCCTCTACTATAGCCGACTTCCTACTCCTCGGCCGCATCGGGACCCCTATTGCTATGGGGGTGCGTTGCTATCCCGCTCTCGCTCTCCCTTCCCCTCTTCCCCACCCCGTGTCCTCCCTGCGTCCGTGTATATCTTGTCTGTACTCTTTCATCCCCATCGGGTGGCAGCAGCTATCTTCCTGAGTCCGTTTCTATGTCGTTCGCCACATGGTTTGTTGTTGTAAGTTCTTGCTACTGTGTTTGATTGCTGTTCGAGCCTATGTTTCCACAGTCGTCCATCTTGGTCGAAATGCCAAGGTGCCACACCAGCTACTGAGACTACATTATTGGAGACCGACGGGTTTGATCCCACCGAGGCGGGCCACGCCGTTCAGCTCGCAGCAAGATGCGCTTGGCACGAATGCCCCCTCGAAGCACTGACCGACGATCACAGAGCTGACATATCGGAGTGGCCTTGCGTCTTCAACTCGGCGTGGGCTTGACAACCCTTTCGTTCTAGACCTGGAGGAGCGGATGAGGGAGACGAGGAGAAGGAGGATGCCACTGAAGGACTCCTGCCATGCCAGTTCTTGTGCCCCAGAGGGGGAGGGCAACCCCGACGCGGGCCAATGACCAGCGCTGGCACCGTCCACCCGCTCGTGCACATCTCAGGAGGAGGGAGGAGGAGGAGGAGGAGGAGGAGGAGGAGGAGGAGGAGGAGGAGGAGGAGGAGGAGGAGGAGGAGGAGGAGGAGAAAGAGGAGGAGGAGGAGGAGGAGGAGGAGGAGGAGGAGGACGAGGACGACGAGGCGAGGACGAGGAGGAGGACGAGGAGGAGGAGGAGGGAGGAGGAGGAGGAGGAGGAGGAGGAGGAGGAGGGGGAGGCAGTGAGAAGAAGGAGGAGGAGGAGGGAGGAGGAGGGGAGGGGGAGGGGGAGGAGGAGGAGAGGAGGAGGAGGAGGAGGATGAGGATGAGGAGGAGGAGGAGGAGGAGGAGGAGGAGGAGGAGGAGGACAAGCTAGGTGCGCTCGCGTCATGGCTGACGTCCTACCCCTCCCTCCCATCCCTTACCATGGCGTAGATCTCCTCTCTTTTCGCACAGTCGGATGTCGTAGCAGGTCAAGCATTACATGGCATATCATGGTTTTGAAGATCAACGCGTAGCCCGACATAGCATGGCGTTGCGACGCCCCACAGTGGAGGGGGGGGGCTTTGCGACCCAAAAAAGCAACGACTCGACACCGAATGTGTAATCACTTCCGATGTTTTTGTTCGGGGCCATTTTTCAGATTTTGGGGCATCTTTGGAAGGACCGAAAACCATGCCGTGGCATGGCGCTGAAAAAAATGACGCCAGCGCTGCAGCGAGAGCATGATTCGGAACGAGCGGAAGCGCGGGAATGAGGCCAGGGCTGCAGCGGGAGCACGATTCGGAACGAGCGGTAGCTCGAAAATGAGGCCAGCGCTTCAGCGAGAGCAACATTTAGAACAACCTACGCGAAAACCCGTTTCCCAGAAATCCCATGTGCAACAATTCGTACGCGGAGGGGGGCCGGATATTCTGAAGGCCTGACGGCCGGTGCCGCCGACCCTGAAAGACGTCGACGACGACCAGGAGGGGGAGGCGGAGGAGGAGGAGGAGGGAGGAGGAGGAGGAGAAGGAGGAGGAGGAGGAACACGAGGAGGAGGAAAGGGAGAAGCAGAAGGAGGAGAAGGAGGAGGAGGAGAAGCAGAAGAATGAGGAGGAGGAGGAGGACGAGCAGTGAGAAGGAGGAGGAGGAGGATGAGGAGGAGGAGGAAGAGGAGGAGGAGGAGGAGGACCCTCCCTTCCTTGGACCCCCCAAGAAGGCCCACGAGGGCCCCAAGAGAGGCCCAAGAGGGAGAGCCCGAATCGAAAATCGGAGCATCCCGCCCAGAGACGGCCCTAGCAGGCCGCAGGAGGCGCCCAAAAGGTCCCAAGAGGCCCCCGAGAGACCCCCAAGACGCCCAAAAGGCCCCCAAGAGGCCCAACAGAGGCCCCAAGAGGACCCAAAACGGCCCGCGAGAAGCCTCCCAAGAGAGCCCAGCGAACTTTCACTTCGTCTCATTCTCAATACCTCGGCACGGTGGCGGGATGGACCGAAGGTCACTAGATACTCCATCTCCTTATCCCGAAGTCGGGGTACACAGCCTCAAGACAGCTCAAGAGGGCCCGGAAACGGCGCCAGAGGGATCCAAGAGGGCTTAATGTTACAGGCCTCTTGGACCGTCTTGGGGTTATCTCCGGTCGTATTCAAAATATAATGGGCCGTCTTGGAGCATCTTGGAGTGGCTAGAGACGGCCGGAGGCATCCTGGGCATTTCTGGGAGGGGTGAGGGATCTAGTCCGTTTGACCGGATCTCCCCCTTTGCAAGCCGGGCGGACTGAGTGCCCGAGTAATTCGACAATCGGTACCGTCACCTTGTTCGCACAAGCGTTCCAGTTTTGACGTCCCCATGTGATGCCACACCTGCAACGAACGTTCGAACATTCGCTTCCCGTTCTTGTCAGGTCAGGTTTCCTGGACGTCACCAGTGGAGAGAGGAGAGTAGTATTCAGATTGTGTAATTGTGGAGGAGGAGTAGGAGGAGGAGGAGTAACAGGAGGAGGAGGAGGAGGAGGGGAAAGGGAGAGGAGGAGGAGGAGGATGAGGATGAGGAGGAGGAGGAGGAGGAAGATCATGCATGTGTCTGTCCAGCAAGTGAGGAACATAGAACCTAGGCCGAGGAGCGGAGACCACGCCTGGCATCAGAGCGTGTCGCCTTCCTGGCCTTAGCACGTAGGACTTTCGGCCGTGTTCCTAAGCGGATCAGCCTTGAGTGTCCCTCTCCAGTCGGTGAGACTCGAATGCAGCCAAGTCGTTGGAATAAGGAGCAGTTTGGGTGTGAAAGGGGCTCGATATTCCTTAGGTCCTTCTATGGCTTTTCCTCTATGCTTCCTCGTGCACGCAGGCGCTTGTGGGGCCCCAAAAGGGCTTCGTTCCTTGTTTATCGTTCCTTCTTTCAGCAGCCCGACTGCAGATGGTTTTCGGATATGTTACGGTTCTGAAGGAGGAGTGAGCCCCAGGAGGGACATCGGGGTCCTCCCGCAGGATCGAGCGACGGTGAGGCGAGGAGACATCACACCGAGCTCTTGCGTTCCCTCCGCAGCTGCTGGCTTGGCGATCTCGCACTCGGCCGCTACGTCGCCACGCCGTCTTGGCCACCTCCGTATTCGGTGCCTTGGCCCGCGTCGACCTCGAAGGTCCCACGGCGAGCTCCAGCGCCGCGGCCGCCATGGGCGCGCGCGCCGCAACCGCTGGCTGCCTCCCTCGGCGGCCACGCGTGCACCGCTGCAGCGCGCGTGCCCGTGCCGCCTCCCTCTTCGTCTGGGCCTGATCCGTGGCTCAGGAACGTCCACCCGATCCCGATCCACATCCCCACCCCCATCCCCACCATCCCACCACCCCAGCTGTGGATGCGCCCATCGAGGCCCTGTATGTCTCCACCTGGGGGGTGTGAATCGGCCAGTGTGGCCCAGGCCACGCCCGTGAGGATAGGGATCGGTTGAACCATGCTCAGTGGCCCGCTCCTCGGCGCGGCGGGCCAGCGAGCACCATCGGCGCAGGTCGGCGCGCCGCTGCTCCTGGCCTGCTGCGCCGAGCCCTGCTGCTCCTTGGCCTCGGCCCTGCGCCCGAGACCTGCGGAGCTCCTGGCCCGAGTCCTGCTGCTGCTGCTGCTGCTGCTGCTGCTGCTGCTGCTGCTGCTGCCCTGGCTCTTGTCGGCCTCCGCTGCCGCACCCGAGTCCTGCGCTGTTGGCCCCTGGCCCCGCGTCCGAGTCCTGCTGCCGCTGCGAGCCCTGCTGCCGGGGCGGCCCTGACCAGGCTTCGACGAGGAGGAGGAGGAGGAGGAGGAGGAGGAGGAGGAGGAGGAGGAGTCCTGCTGCCGCTGCGAGCCCTGCTGCTTGGATCTCTCGACCTGGGCCTGGCGTCCGAGTCCGTGTCCCGCTGCTCAAGAGTCTTGCTCCGAGTCCGCCGCGCTGTCTCGCCCTTGGTTCTTGAATTTGAAAAGAATGGTTTTGGATTTCACAAACGAGTTTTTGGAATTCCAAAAATGTTTTATTCAAAAGCAATGTTTATACTTAATTTTCAACTGGGTTTATGAATTCTAAAACCAGCCTCCTGCTGCTCCCAGTCCCTGTTCCAGAACCTCGGCCTGTGCCACCAGGCTGCGGCCGAGGGCCCCTCGGCTACGACGGGCCAGACACATCATCTCGAACCCAACGTCTCGAACGCAGTGTGTGCCAGTTGTACACGACCGGGGGGATGGAGGAGGAGGAGGAGGAGGAGGAGGAGGAGGAGGAGGAGGAGGAGGAGGAGGAGGAGGAGGTAGGTAGGTAGGTGTGCTCCCTTTGAGCTGGCGGCGGAGGCGTCGGACGGCGCTTCCTTTTAGCAAGGAGCCACGACCCGGAGAGGGTTCGGAAGCGACCTTGCTGCGACGGCTCTGGAAGACAAAGCGCTAGCACTGGAGGGAACGGGGGGAGGGTAGGCGAAAGCTTTAGCTCTCGGGGGGCCTGGGCGGAATGCTTGGGTCGGCGCTGGACCCCCCCCCCCCCAGCGCTCAAAACGAGCCCGGGGAGCGGCGCCAAGGCGCCGGGGGGGGGGGCACAGCCCCTACCCAGGGACACCCCCCCCAGCCACCGAAGGACGTCGCAGCTCCAGCCAACACCTCCGCCCTGAGCCTCAGCCAGAGCGAAGCAGCAGAGGCAACTCAGAGACTCCCCGCAACATGGGGGGGGGCCAGGCAGGGAGCACCTGCCTGGAGCTCGTCCGATCCCCACTACACTGCCTGGTCGACGCACCCCGCAGGTGCGGGACGGTGACAGGAAGGGGGAGAGGGAGCCACCCCGAGGGGGGGGGAAGGGGGCCCAGCCCGACCCGGCCAGCCTGCCAGGGGCCCACAGGGAGAGGAATACCGCTCCCGCTGCACCCCAGGGCAGGACCAGAGCTCCGAGGAGAATCCAGCCATGGCGACAAAGGGACCCCCGAACAAGCAGCGGTCAGGGAACCTTCCCCCAGAAGCGCCAGGCAGAGGGGAGGGAGGGCGGCAGGGGGCGAGATCGGAAGGGGAGAGAAAACCACCCCAGAGAGGAGGAGAAAGGGAGAGAGGACGGGGCGAAGAGAGAGGCCCATCCCGGCCCGACCCGACACGACCACCCGGGCTCCCGGGCGGAAGGCGGGAGGGAGGGAGGGAGAAAGGGAAGGAGAGAGGGAAGGAGAGGGGCGAGCGGGAGAGGGCTCTGCGAGCAGAGGCCCGGGCACAGTCCCCCCCAGAAGCGCCAGGCAGAAGGGAGGGAGGGCGGGAGGGGGGGAGACCAGACGGG